CTCTCTCCCTCTCTCTCTCACTCTCTCCCTCTACTCCCTCTCCTCCCTCTCTCTCCTCTCCTCTCTCTCGTCTCGTCTCTCTCTCTCCGCCCTCTCCTCTGTCTTCTCGTTCTCTCGTCTCTCTCTCTCTCTCTCTCTTCTCTCAACAGACTGTGAACGGACAGGAGTAAAAGAAAAATTATACATACAGAATGCCATATCTTGCCAATCAGAGAACATCTGCGTTGACGTAATAATAGACAAAGCCAATCAGAGAGCGTCTTGTGACGTAATACTAAACACAGCCAATCAAGAACATCTGCGATGACGTAAAACTAGATCACAGCCAATCAGATCACATCTGCTTTGACGTAATACTAGACAAAGCCAATCAGAGAGCGTCTGTGTGACGAAATACTAGACAAGTGGGGGGGGGGGGGGGGGGGAAAGGGAAAACATGCCAATCTCAGAGAACATCTCGTGAACGTAATACTAGAACACAGGCAAATCAGAGAACATCTGCGTGACGTAATACTAGACCAAAGCCAATCAGAGAGCATCTGTGGTGACGTAATACTAGACACAGCCAATCAGAGAGCGTCTGTGTGACGTAATACTAGACACAGCCAATCAGAGAGCGTCTGTGTGACGTAATACTAGACACAGCCAATCAGACAACATCTACGTAACCTTACCACTCAACACAACCAGCTACCAAACAGCTAAACATTGAGGCGTCAGACAACGCTCACAACGGCTCACTCAATCGTCGAAAGACGTAAAAAAAATTTTTAGCGCATTTTTCCATATTTCTTAATATTTAAAAAAATCTGAAAAATCCATATAAAAAATATAACTAATATTATCATAGAGAACAATCCTAGAGAGATGTTGAGGTGAGACCCTACTGGTGTGGCTTGTCAGTGAGAGCTGACTGTGTGGCTGTCAAGTAGAGCTGACTGGTGTGGCTGTCAAGTGAGAGCTGACTGGTGTGGCTGTCAAGTGAGAGCTGACTGGTGTGGCTGTCAAGTGAGAGCTGACTGGTGGAGGCTGATCAAGTGAGAGCTTGAGACTGGGTGTGGCTGTCAAGTGAGATCTGTACTGGTGTGGGCTGTCCAAGTGAGAGCTGACTGTTGGCTGTCAAGTGAGGTCTGACTGGTGTGGCTTCAAGTGAGACCTGAAATGGTGTGGCTGTCAAGTGAGAAGCTACTGGTGTGGCTGTCAAGTGAGACCATTGACTGGTGAGGCTGTCAAGTGAAGCTGACTGTGTGGCTGTCAAGTGAGAGCTGACTGGTGTGGCTGTGAGTGAGACCTGACTGGTGTGGGTTGTGAAGTGAGACCTGATGGTTGTGGCTGTCAAGTGAGAGCTGACTGGTGTGGCTGTCAAGTGAGACCTGACTGGTTGTGGCTGTCAAGTAGAGAAGCTGACTGGTGTGGCTGTCAAGTGAGACCTGACTGGTGTGGTTGTGAAGTGAGTCCTGACTGGTGTGGCTGTCAAGTGAGACCTGACTGTGTGGCTGTCAAGTGAGACCTGACTGGTGTGGCTGTCAAGTGAGACCTGACTGGTGTGGCTGTCAAGTGAGACCTGACTGGTGTGGCTGTCAAGTGAGACCTGACTGGTGTGGCTGTCAAGTGAGACCTGACTGGTGTGGCTGTCAAGTGAGACCTGACTGGTGTGGCTGTCAAGTGAGACCTGACTGGTGTGGTGTCAAGTGAACCTGACTGGTGTGGCTGTCAAGTGAGACCTGACTGGTGTGGCTGTCAAGTGAGACCTGACTGGTGTGGCTGTCAAGTGAGACCTGACTGGTGTGGCTGTGAAGTGAAGCCTGACTGGTGTGGCTTTCAAGTGAGACCTGAATGGTGTGGCTGTCAAGTGAGACCTGACTGGTGTGGCTGTCAAGTGAGACCTGACTGGTGTGGCTGTCAAGTGAGACCTGACTGGTGTGGCTGTGAAGCCTGACTGGTGTGGCTGTGAAGCCTGAGTGGTGTGGCTGTCAAGTGAGACCTGAATGGTGTGGCTGTCAAGTGAGACCTGTCTGGTGTGGCTGTCAAGTGAGACCTGACTGGTGTGGCTGTCAAGTGAGACCTGACTGGTGTGGCTGTCAAGTGAGACCTGACTGTTGTGGCTGTCAAGTGAGACCTGACTGGTGTGGCTGTCAAGTGAGACCTGACTGGTGTGGCTCTCAAGTGAGACCTGACTGGTGTGGCTGTGAAGTGAGTCCTGACTGGTGTGGCTGTCAAGTGAGACCTGACTGTTGTAGCTATGAAGTGAGTCTTGACTGTTGTGGCTGTCAAGTGAGTCCTGACTGGTGTGGCTGTCAAGTGAGACCTGACTGGTGTGGCTCTCAAGTGAGACCTGACTGGTGTGGCTGTGAAGTGAGTCCTGACTGGTGTGGCTGTCAAGTGAGACCTGACTGTTGTGGCTATGAAGTGAGTCCTGACTGTTGTGGCTGTCAAGTGAGTCCTGACTGGTGTGGCTGTCAAGTGAGACCTGACTGGTGTGGCTGTCAAGTGAGACCTGACTGATGTGGCTGTCAAGTGAGACCTGACTGGTGTGGCTGTCAAGTGAGACCTGACTGGTGTGGCTGTCAAGTGAGACCTGACTGGTGTGGCTCTCAAGTGAGACCTGACTGGTGTGGCTGTGAAGTGAGTCCTGACTGGTGTGGCTGTCAAGTGAGACCTGTCTGGTGTGGCTGTGAAGTGAGTCCTGACTGGTGTGGCTGTGAAGTGAGTCCTGACTGGTGTGGCTGTGAAGTGAGACCTGACTGGTGTGGTTGTGAAGTGAGTCCTGACTGGTGTGGCTGTCAAGTGAGACCTGACTGGTGTGGCTGTCAAGTGAGACCTGACTGGTGTGGCTGTCAAGTGAGACCTGACTGGTGTGGTTGTGAAGTGAGTCCTGACTGGTGTGGCTCTCAAGTGAGACCTGACTGGTGTGGCTGTCAAGTGAGACCTGACTGGTGTGGCTGTCAAGTGAGACCTGACTGGTGTGGCTGTCAAGTGAGACCTGACTGGTGTGGCTGTCAAGTGAGACCTGACTGGTGTGGCTGTCAAGTGAGACCTGACTGGTGTGGCTGTCAAGTGAGACCTGACTGGTGTGGCTGTCAAGTGAGACCTGACTGGTGTGGCTGTCAAGTGAGACCTGACTGGTGTGGCTGTCAAGTGAGACCTGACTGGTGTGGCTGTCAAGTGAGACCTGACTGGTGTGGCTGTCAAGTGAGACCTGACTGGTGTGGCTGTCAAGTGAGACCTGACTGGTGTGGCTGTGAAGTGAAGCCTGACTGGTGTGGCTGTCAAGTGAGACCTGAATGGTGTGGCTGTCAAGTGAGACCTGACTGTGTGGCTGTTCAAGTGAGACCTGACTGGTGTGGCTGTCAAGTGAGACCTGACTGGTGTGGCTGTCAAGTGAGACCTGACTGTGTGGCTGTCAAGTGAGACCTGACTGGTGTGGCTGTGAAGTGAAGCCTGACTGGTGTGGCTGTCAAGTGAGACCTGAATGGTGTGGCTGTCAAGTGAGACCTGACTGGTGTGGCTGTCAAGTGAGACCTGACTGGTGTGGCTGTCAAGTGAGACCTGACTGGTGTGGCTGTCAAGTGAGACCTGACTGGTGTGGCTGTCAAGTGAGACCTGACTGTTGTGGCTGTCAAGTGAGACCTGACTGGTGTGGCTGTCAAGTGAGACCTGACTGGTGTGGCTCTCAAGTGAGACCTGACTGTGTGGCTGTGAAGTGAGTCCTGACTGGTGTGGCTGTCAAGTGAGACCTGACTGTTGTGGCTATGAAGTGAGTCCTGACTGTTGTGGCTGTCAAGTGAGTCCTGACTGGTGTGGCTGTCAAGTGAGACCTGACTGGTGTGGCTGTCAATTGAGACCTGACTGGTGTGGCTGTCAAGTGAGACCTGACTGGTGTGGCTGTCAAGTGAGACCTGACTGGTGTGGCTGTCAAGTGAGACCTGACTGGTGTGCTCTCAAGTGAGACCTGACTGGTGTGGCTGTGAAGTGAGTCCTGACTGGTTGTGGCGTGAAGTGAGTCCTGACTGGTGTGGCTGTGAAGTGAGACCTGACTGGTGTGGTTGTGAAGTGAGTCCTGACTGGTGTGGCTGTCAAGTGAGACCTGACTGGTGTGGCTGTCAAGTGAGACCTGACTGGTGTGGCTGTCAAGTGAGACCTGACTGGTGTGGTTGTGAAGTGAGTCCTGACTGGTGTGGCTGTCAAGTGAGACCTGACTGGTGTGGCTGTCAAGTGAGACCTGACTGGTGTGGCTGTCAAGTGAGACCTGACTGGTGTGGCTGTGAAGTGAGACCTGACTGGTGTGGGTGTCAAGTGAGACCTAACTGTTGTGGCTGTGAAGTGAGACCTGACTGGTGTGGCTGTCAAGTGAGACCTGACTGATGTGGCTGTCAAGTGAGACCTGACTGGTGTGGTTGTCAAGTGAGACCTGACTGGTGTGGCTGTGAAGTGAGACCTGACTGGTGTGGCTGTCAAGTGAGACCTGACTGGTGTGGCTGTCAAGTGAGAGCTGACTGGTGTGGCTGTCAAGTGAGACCTGACTGGTGTGGCTGTCAAGTGAGAGCTGACTGGTGTGGGTGTCAAGTGAGACCTGACTGGTGTGGCTGTCAAGTGAGAGCTGACTGGTGTGGGTGTCAAGTGAGAGCTGACTGGTGTGGCTGTCAAGTGAGAGCTGACTGGTGTGGGTGTCAAGTGAGAGCTGACTGGTGTGGGTGTCAAGTGAGAGCTGACTGGTGTGGGTGTCAAGTGAGAGCTGACTGTTGTGGCTGTGAAGTGAGAGCTGACTGTTGTGGCTGTCAAGTGAGACCTGACTGTTGTGGCTGTGAAGTGAGAGGTGACTGGTGTGGCTGTCAAGTGAGAGCTGACTGGTGTGGGTGTCAAGTGAGAGCTGACTGGTGTGGGTGTCAAGTGAGAGCTGACTGTTGTGGCTGTGAAGTGAGAGCTGACTGTTGTGGCTGTCAAGTGAGACCTGACTGTTGTGGGTGTCAAGTGAGAGCTGACTGGTGTGGATCACTCACCAGTCTGAGGAAGGTCCTGCCAATCATGGTGGGCACTTCTGAGTGGTATTTCACACCCTCGATCAACACACTGAAACATAACAACAATAACAAATAAAAATCCCATAATTCAGATATAACACAATTCTGAAATGAGGTAAAAAAATCATACGAAGAATTATTGAATAAAAGTTGAAAAAAAAATAAAATAAAAAAAAAATATACAGAATATAAGACAAGATATTAAATAAAATAATTAGTAACATATAAGAAATGACACCATTAAATATATATTATATATACATTGTAATATAAAATAATATAAATATGTCAGGAGGAACTATAAAAATTCTCAGAGTATATACACTGAGAATTGAGTATAAGTGTAGCGTCGATTCTAGTGATCGTTGGACTGCGTTTAGTGCGTCAGCTGTTAGCCAAGTGATGGTGCCTAAGGGCACTGTGCCTCACTGCTACGAGCCCCATGTGGGCAGCTGTGAGGTCACGGTCAGCATCACAGCTGCTGGTTCTGCCGCCACGACCGCAGTCACCATGTCAGGCCCAGGAGAGCCTCCTAAATGAGTATTGGAATGTGCAGAAGAGTCGGAGGACTACGTGGGGCAGATGGAAGCTCCCACCAAGAAAGCCAAGGACGCTGTATCTGCCGACCTGCACACTAGTTCAGACGGCAGCTGCTACCCATGGAGACCATTGGTAAGGACGGGACCCTCAGAGCACTGCCCCATCAGTGCACACATACAGCTCCCCCAAATGGACATAGGGGTCATGAGAGGCAACCAGGATGCTGTGGCACTCCTCAACTGGCGGGAATGGGGCCATACCAGGTATCCACCCCAGTAACGTCGGCTACCACGGAGGATGGGGAATGGCTGACTCCGCATGGAAGAAAGAATTCCCGCTCTGCTCGGGCACAAGTAACCAGGGCCTTCAACAAATTCAAGGTTCCCGATTACGGGTTTGTGAGGTATCTGGAGAGCATACCTCGCCTCAAATTCCGCTGCGAGTTCACTCTCAGGAACGAGGTTCTGGTCATTCCTCAAGACGAGGATTCATACGAGATATTAAAGAAGCTGGCTATGTCACATCCCAGCATGGTGGAACTGGTTGCTTAGGAGAAGGTCTACAAGGGGGTGCTCATGCCCGTCCCTGTGCCCCTCCCGTTGGACCCCATTTGGAAGTGCCCAATATTTCAAGGCAGAGCGACTCACTGCCAAGGTGAACAAGGTGTCCACCCGGCAGGCGCTGATACGCCACAAAGGACCACTCCCCACGCACTTGGACCTTGGGGTCTGAGGTAAGTTCAAGACCCGGTTGTACCTGTCGGGCCCACTGCAATGCTTCAACTGTCAGGGATTCAATCACACTGCAGCCACCTGCCAGCGAGGGAAGAAGTGTGGAGTGTGAGCAAGGCACACGACTCAAAGGACTGCATTGCACTTCTCAAACAACCGACCAGCGGGGCCTCTCGGCCGGAGCCCAAGTGTGCCAACTGCTCCAAGAGGCACCATGCCTGGAACCAAAGCTGTCCTGTGATGGTGCAGCACTGGCAGCAAGTGCTTCACTGGAACGGCCTAGCACCCACGGCAACGCCCAACCTCAGAACCACCGAGTAAACAGTCGGCATGAGCTCCGACCGCAGCACCACGGATGCCACAGATGGGCAATACCAGCGAGTTCCCAGCACTGGGCTCCCAGCAGTGGCATCATGGGGCAGTCACTGGCTTGCAGCAGCACGGCCAAAAGCGGGGCCAGACCGCGAGATGGCCGAGGAGACAAAATCACTGGGAAACGCGGCCACAGGCCAGGAACACTGCCCAGCAGGCCTCTGCCGGGCACCGGCATGGCCACACCATCCCACCGGCAGGCCTCTTCCCGAGGGCAGGCCCCTCCTACGAATGGACAGAGTCCGGCAGCGGCTCCCCACCAGGAGACCCAGAAGCCCACGGCCACTCTTGTCACTCAGGCCGGGTCCAGGGTGTACCCAGCTTATGCGGCTGCAGTGTCGACAGCCACCCAAACATACCCACTGACCCAATCCCGACACGAAGAGCCGTCCGACCCCACACCTACAGAGGTAATGGTGGACTCATTTCCAGTTCGACTGAAGAAAACCATCGAGGTCATCTCACAGCTTCTCTCTCGCCTGCTGCCATCGGCAGAGGACAGGGGTGCCTGCAGAAGCTCCTGCCATGGATGCTAGGCGTGGTCCTACTGGACAGGAAGGGCTCAATGGAACTTCAAGACATCATCCAGAGTACTTCTAGTCCGTGATGGAGGAGACCCCAGAGTCACCAACAACGGAAGACGACGAGTCCCAGGCAGAGATGGAATCAGAGGGCCACCTCTCCAGCCGTTGAAGATCCTCCAGTGGACAGGAGGCATTTACCAAACCACTACATCAACCACAGCCATGCATCCCGGGATTCTCGGCTTACCTTCAGCGCCTGGAAGGCACCGGCAGGGACACGGCGATGTACGTTAGGAACATTAATCCTTCATTCGATCTCCGCTGACTCCATCGACTGCGGAGAGGGCGTGGAGGCACAGGCCGTCACCTTACACCTGCCAGATGGACCTCTCGTGGTTTACAACATACAGAGAAGCTCTCGGTCCACCCTTGACATTTCAGAGGTGGCAGAACTCGCTCCCCTGGAGTCTTGTTGTGGCTGGGGATGTCAATGCCCACCACCCAATACTTAATTCTGTCTCCCCCACCAACGCAACTGGGAGGCACCTTGCGTCTGTGCTGGAGGATGTACCTGAGATCTCCCTCCTCAACACTGGGGAGCCAACCCATCACTACGATGGCCGCCTTGACATCACACTCATCTTCAGACGGCTGCTGTCGAGTGCAGCACTGTATAGCCCTTGTGATTTAGCGCTTCTTTTTATTATAATAATAATAATAATAATGCTCTCGAGTGTGGGAGGTTCACCCCCATCTAACCAGTGATCACTTTGCAGTGGTCACCACACTGATGGTCCAGCGGCACCCACCTCCCACACATTCCCCCAGATGGAATCTCAAGAAGGCCGACTGGCAGTGCTTCCAGGAGGTCATCGAGCACTGGTGGGCGAAGACTACTTTACCAGAAGATCCAGATGAGGCGGCTCAGAGCCTACAGGAGGCCTTCACTTGGGCAGCTGAGGCAGCCATACCTAGACTTACAGGTGGAAGGTCATACAAGCGTGACTGGTGGTACTACAACAAGGAAATAATGGAGCAGAACCACCGGATCAATGTCGTCCGCAAGATGCACAGGCACAATCCCACGGCCGAGTCCATGCGTCTGCTAAGGGAAGTGGTGCGGCATGCTTGCCATGTCTCACACAGGGTCCGGCTAGCTAAATGGTTCGAGTGGTGTGTCTCCCTCAGCTACACCACCTTATCTAAGATATGGACCAAGTTAAGAATGGCTACTGGGCAGTGTCGCGCTGTGGCTCGTGCGCACCCAGACCCTGCAACGGAGGCAGAGCGTCGGGTACTTTTCACTTCCAGAGCGGCTATGGCTCAACTACCTCAGGATCTCCAGGACCTCCAGGCCACCCTCCTTCCTAGAAGGTTGGTGGCGATCCAAGCGCCATGCCAGGCAAACGACGACATACCGATGAAGACTTCACTGACCGGGAGCTCCAGGCAGCCTTCACATCTAATTCGGGACACTGCGCCAGGGCATGATGGTGTCACCTATGGCATGATCACTCAGTCTGGCCATTCTGGTCACGAAGCTGTCCTGGGGGTCATCAACCAGACTTGGAGAGCCTGGCAGACTCCCTGCCGTATGGAAGTAGGCTGACATCATACCAATACCTAAGCCCGCGGATCCTGGCAGTGTGAGACCCATCTCCCTCATCAGTTGCATTCTCGAAGGTGTCTGAGAGGATGGTGTTAGAGCGACTGAGGTGGAAGCTTGGCCCTCATAAACACCTCTATGGATTCACCAGAGGAGTGGACACTTTCGAAAGCCTTACCACCCTACTGGCCACCATTGGGTCGGACGCCCAAGCCCACATTGTTGTCTTCCTCGACCTTGAGAAGGCTTTCGAGCTAGCCAGTGCACCTGCCATCCTTGCACTCTTGACCCGCAGGGGAGTTAAGGGCAGGCTGCTTGCATGGCTTCGTTCCTGTCTCCCGTCTTTTCAAGATTGATGGACTGATTACATCGACTCAAGACTGAGGGACTGATTACCTCAAACTCCTCCTGATTTTCACCATTCTCCTTTGTATGGCCTGATGAAGCCACTGTGTGGCGAAACGTTCCCTCATTAAAAATACCCAAGTGTTGCACATGTGTCTAATTTATTGATGCTGATTCAACACTGGACATAAAAGTCTTGTCGCTTATTTCTTTCGAGTGGGTTGAGTTCTGAAGAGCAATACTATCCAAGATCCATATTACATTAAACCCTTAAGGGCCATACAGCGCCTGGGGAAAATGGAAAGTGTTTAGATTCGAGAACTGGAGCACAGGTCCACTTCCCTGGATCAAGAACCCTTCACCAACATCAAGGAACCTGCCTTAAGAGGACCCAGCATCCATAATCTTCCTGGGATGTGAAATTGACTTAATAAGAAAGATTTCTTTCCTATAAGAAAAAATACACATTTCTTCGAAATGTTTGGCGCTATTCATGTAATTCCAGCCCTCGAGTCTCAAACACCAGTGTGGAACCTTCACCTAAAAACGCACTCTGACATGATTCAGAAAGATCCGAGAAGCAAGAGGCACAAGGAAAGTTTAGAACAGCATAGAAAATGAGGAGATAAAAACCACAAAATACAAAATACTCTGAGGCATCAAAATAGAAAATAGTCTAACATGACAGTTATTAGTACAAGATGAACACTCAAATATCAGCTAAAGAGAGTAGACACAAGTAGGTCCAAGTGCTGTAGCTTAACCCCCTCAAACTCACCTAGGTAAACACACTCCAGCACATACCTGAAGCAGTTTGAGGACCCTAATATATTTGAGAACAGTATCCCCTGCTCTGCGAGCAGTGGATACTGCTGAGATCAGTGGATACTGCTCTGAGATCAGTGGATACTGCTCTGAGATCAGGGGATACTGCTCTGAGAACAGGGGATACTGCTCTGAGATCAGTGGATACTGCTCTGAGATCAGTGGATACTGCTCTGAGAACAGGGGATACTGCTCTGAGAGAAGTGGATACTGCTGAGATCAGTGGATATTGCTCTGAGAAGAAGGATACTGCTCTCAGAGCAAGGCCAAATGCTGAAGGTTCATACACATAAGAGTGGGAGGTATTCCAGTATGATGGAAGGAAGGCTGAAGTAACCGCTTGCCTGCACCGCTCTAGCAACATTCAATACAGTGTTGTGACTATTCTTAGACAAGCAAAACACTTTCCGAATTTAAGGAAAATATATTTAAGGTTGTGTTCATTTACCTCCCACTGGCTGGCTCCATCAACCTCCCACTACAACATCTATTTCTGAAAAATACTCAGTAAATTTTAACTAACTGAGGAAAGAAGCTGTAAACTCAGGGGCAATACTGGATGACTCTCTCTCTCTCTCTCTCTCTCTCTCTGTTAGGTATGAGGACACATGTGCGACTAATGTGAAATTTTATTGTGGCAACGTTTAGGTCTCCAGGATCTCTGTCAGGCTGAAACATTGCAACAATGAAACGTGACATTAGCTGCACTTGTCCTTGTACCTAACATACTGTTGGTAATTCTACCAACGTTATTTCTCTCTCTCTCTCTCTCTCTCTCTCTCTCTCTCTCTTCTCTCTCTCTCTCTCTCTCTCTCTTCCAAAAAATATCCCGTCGCTGTGATTTTACTAATAATTATAATAAGCTAGAACAAAGCTTCCCCTCTATCATCATCACTTCCACTCTGACACATTCACTCACTTCTGATGGAAGTCTGAGATGAATTTGAAGTTGTTGAAGATGAGTTCCTTGTGATCTCTGATGTTCCTGGGTGTTGTGCTCTTCTCCATCAGGTTGTAGTAGTTCTCCATCACGAACTCCAGGTCCTTGACGAACTCTTCCTCCGTTTCGATCAACTCTCGTATCGTCGCTCTGCAACACGACCACACAATATGACATCTGAATTCTCGTATCTGCTATGACAAGACAGTGATGGTGTAAATGATGGTGGAAGTGTTTCTTTTTCTAGTCTACATCGGCCGCTTCCCGCCGAGGCAGGGTAACATGATAAAGAAGAAACACTTCTGTCATCATTCACTCCATCACTGTCTTGCCAGAGGCATGTCTACACTACAGTTATAAAACTGTAACATTAACACCCCTCCTTCAGAGTGACGGTACTGTACTTCCCACCTCCAGGACTCAAGTCCGGCTAACCGTTTTGCCTGAATCCCTTCATGTTAATTTGCTCACACTCCAACAGCACGTCAAATTATAAAAAGTTTTTGTTTAAACTCGCTCCTAACACGCTCACGCACGCCTGCCGAATGTTTAAGCCCCTCGCACACAAAACCTCCATTACCCCCTCGTCCAACCTTTCTTAGGCCGACCCCTACCCCACCTTCCCTCCACTACAGATTTATATACCCTCCAAGTAATTCTGCTTTGTTCCATCCTCTCTAAATGTCCAAACCACCTCAACAATCCCTCCTCAGCCCTCTGGATAATGCTTTTAGTAACCCCGTACCTTCTTCTAATTCCCAAGTTACAGACTCGCTATATTATATTCACACCACACATTGCTCTCAGACATGACATCGCTGCCTTCAGCCTTCTCCTTGTTGCAACATTCACCACCTAAACTTCACACCCATGTAAGAGGATTGGCACCACTATAATCATATATATATATATATATATATATAATATATATATATATATATATATATATATATATATATATATATATAATATATGTATATCATATATACAATATATGTATATATGCATATATATATATATATATATATATATATATATATATATATATATATATATATATATATATATATATATATATATATAATATATATGTATGTGAGTATAGTGGTGCTTTCGTGATTTCTCACATTATCAGGGAATAGTAAACAATAATAGAAGTCTATCCCATGACCAACAATGAGTCTATCCCAGACATAGACCCATTCCCATTTCTCTTTTCCTTTCCTCTCATCTCCATTTCTCTCTCTCTCTCTCCCTCTCTTAAGGTGGCTAGTACTCACGTCCTCTTAGCCCTAGCCTCGTCCTCAGGAGAGGGTCCCAGGAGCTTGCTGGACAGCTTCCTCGACTTGAACTCTCTGATCTCCTTCATGAGATTCTTCTTCACCGTCAGTGTTTCTTCCATCGCTAGCTGCTGCACTGACCTCTTGAGCGAAGCCTTCAGGGAGGTGGTGGTCTCCTGAGTGTGGAGGGCCAGGAGACGTGAGGGAACAAGACCCTCCTTCCCTGACTCCGGGTCTCTCACCACCCATCTGAGGAGAAAGACCTTTTTAAGAGAAGAAAGAACTTTTAAGAAACTGAAAGACCTTTTGAAGAGGCAAATATTTTTTAATCCAGAAAGCCCTTTTAAGACACAAATACCCATTCATGAATATATATATATATATATATATATATATATATATATATATATATATAATATATATATATATATATATAATATATATATATATATATATATATATATATATATATTATAATATATATATATATATATATACTATATATATATATATATATATATATATATATATATATATATATATATATATATATTATAATTATTATTATAATTAGTAGTAGTAATAATATAATTATTATTGCAGCACGAATTAGAAAGCCCGTGTGGGTTTATCGTTTAATGCCTGGAATTTGAACTCATTACCACAGATTCCAACACATGATTTTCTCACGGGTGGATTCCATAACTCATTCCAAGACGCTCCCTGATAACCTCCCAGGAGGAGGATCTGATACCCTTCCATTAAGATCCGATACCTTTCCAGGGGATCAGATGCCATTCCATGAGGGTCAGATACTCTTCCAAAAGGATACGATACCTTCCAGGGGAATCAATTAACTTTTAAGAAGGATCAGATACCCTTCCAGGAGGATCAGATACCTTTAAGGAAATCAGATATATCCTTTAAGGAGCATCAGATACCCTTTAAGGAAGGTCCGATACCCTTCCAGGAGGATCCGATACCCTTCTAAAGGGGATCCGATACCCTTCCAGGAGGATCCGATACCCTTCTAAAGGAGATCCGATACCCTTCTTAAGGGGATCCGATACCCTTCCAGGAGGATCTGATACCCTTCCAGGAGGATCCGATAAATTCTAAAGGGGATCCGATACCCTTCCAGGAGGATCTGATACCCTTCCAGGAGGATCCGATACCCTTCCAGGAAGATTTCACACAGGAATTCCATACACTTTCTTAAAATATTCCAGAGATGGTTATTGAAATATTCTGGAAAAGTTTCACGTGACCTTCCATAAATTTTTCGAACATATATTTCGACATAGTTGAAATTCTCTCTCGTGTGTAAATTCTGACTGAGAATTTAACATTAAACGATACGTTTTCTCTCTTGATTTAGCCCCATTTATATATAGAACTGCCAGGAGTGTGCTAAAGGGTTTATATACCGAGAGGTGTGTATATCAGGGTATATACACTGATAGGTGTGTGTATCAGGGTATATGCACTGATAGGTGTGTGTATCAGGGTATATACACTGATAGGTGTGTATATAAGGGCATATACACTGATAGGCGTGTGTATCAGGGTATATACACTGATAGGTGTGTGTATCAGGGTATATACACTGATAGGTGTGTGTATCAGGGTAAATGCACTGATAGGTGTGTATATCAGGGTATATATACTGATAGGTGTGTGTATCAGGGTATATGCACTGATAGGTGTGTGTATCAGGGTATATGCACTGATAGGTGTGTGTATCAGGGTATATGCACTGATAGGTGTGTGTATCAGGGTATATACACCGATAGGTGTGTGTATCAGGGTATATGCACTGATAGGTGTGTGTATCAGGGTATATGCACTGATAGGTGTGGTATCAGTATAAACACTGATAGGTGTCATATCACGGTATATACAATGATAGGTGTGTGTATCAGGGTATATACACCGATAGGTGTGTGTATCAGGGTATATGCACTGATAGGTGTGTATATCAGGGTATATATATACTGAGAGGCGTGTATCTTTAAATGCCTAAGTGCACATACACCGATATACAATGAGAGTTGTATATCTCTCAGTGTATACACACTAATATACACACCTGTCAGTGTATACACACTGATATACACACCTGTCAGTGTATACACACTGATATACACACCTGTCAGTGTATACACACTGATATACACACCTGTCAGTGTATACACACTGATATACACACCTGTCAGTATATACACACTGATATACACACCTGTCAGTATATACACACTGATATACACACCTGTCAGTATATACACACTGATATACACACCTGTCAGTATATACACACTGATATACACACCTGTCAGTATATACACACTGATATACACACCTGTCAGTTATACACACTGATATACACACCTGTCAGTGTATACACACTGATATACACACCTGTCAGTATATACACACTGATATACACACCTGTCAGTATATACACACTGATATACACACCTGTCAGTTATACACACTGATATACACACCTGTCAGTATATACACACTGATATACACACCTGTCAGTATATACACACTGATATACACACCTGTCAGTATATACACACTGATATACACACCTGTCAGTATATACACACTGATATACACACCTGTCAGTATATACACACTGATATACACACCTGTCAGTATATACACACTGATATACACACCTGTCAGTATATACACACTGATATACACACCTGTCAGTATATACACACTGATATACACAACCTGTCAGTATATACACACTGATATACACACCTGTCAGTATATACACACTGATATACACACCTGTCAGTATATACACACTGATATACACACCTGTCAGTATATACACACTGATATACACACTCAAAGTTTATTGTAGTCCATATTTTAGGTATTAAAGGTAATGTTATCTGGTGGTGGACAAGTGACAGGCACACTGCGTGACCCTCGTGTAGTAGACAGACCTCAAACCACCACACAACTGTGTTTTTTGGCTCCTCATATCTACGTTTAACTTACTTTCACATTCATTTACGGCCTCACGAACATTTACGTCCATTTACACTTCTATTTACACTATCATTTACATTATTATTTACAGAATTATATTCACTATTGGAGACGATCTGATCCTCTGCCCTGGGATTGGATGCCATTTCAAGGAAAACATAACAAAGGGTTTTGGAATTCATAGTGCTGTTGCCGCAGCAACGGCACTAATAACGGCACTATCAACGGGAGAATAAATTAGCAAATTAGACTGTAAACAGCAAAATTAATACCTGGAAAACCAGGCATATAGAGCAAACAGTATTCAATTGTACAGATGAAAATTTGGAGTCACCACAGGTGGGGTTAGAACCCACGATCAGGGAGTCACCACAGGTGGGGTTAGAACCCACAATCAGGGAGTCACCACAGGTGGGGTTAGAACCCACGATCAGGGAGTCACCACAGGTGGGGTTAGAACCCACAATCAGGGAGTCACCACAGGTGGGGTTAGAACCCACGATCAGGGAGTCACCACAGGTGGGGTTAGAACCCACGATCAGGGAGTCACCACAGGTGGAGTTAGAACCCACGATCAGGGAGTCACCACAGGTGGGGTTAGAACCCACGATCAAGGAGTCACCACAGGTGGGGTTAGAACCCACGATCAGGGAGTCACCACAGGTGGGGTTAGAACCCACAATCAGGGAGTCACCACAGGTGGGGTTAGAACCCACGATCAGGGAGTCACCACAGGTGGGGTTAGAACCCACGATCAGGGAGTCACCACAGGTGGAGTTAGAACCCACGATCAGGGAGTCACCACAGGTGGGGTTAGAACCCACGATCAAGGAGTCACCACAGGTGGGGTTAGAACCCACGATCAGGGAGTCACCACAGGTGGGGTTAGAACCCACGATCAGGGAGTCACCACAGGTGGGGTTAGAACCCACGATCAGGGAGTCACCACAGGTGGGGTTAGAACCACGATCAGGGAGTCACCACAGGTGGGGTTAGAACCCACGATCAGGGAGTCACCACAGGTGGGGTTAGAACCCACGATCAGGGAGTCACCACAGGTGGGGTTAGAACCCACGATCAGGGAGTCACCACAGGTGGGTTAGAACCCACGATCAGGGAGTCACCACAGGTGGGGTTAGAACCCACGATCAGGGAGTCACCACAGGTGGGGTTAGAACCCACGATCAGGGAGTCACCTACAGGTGGGGGTTAGAACCCACGATCAGGGAGTCACCACAGGTGGGGTTAGAACCACGATCAGGGAGTCACCACAGGTGGGGTTAGAACCCACGATCAGGGAGTCACCACAGGTGGGTTAGAACCCACGATCAGGGAGTCACCACAGGTGGGGTTAGAACCCACGATCAGGGAGTCACCACAAGTGGGGTTAGAACCCACGATCAGGGAGTCACCACAGGGGGGTTAGAACCCACGATCTAGGGAGTCACCACAGGTGGGGTTAGAACCCACGATCAGGGAGTCACCACAGGTGGGGTTAGAACCCACGATCAGGGAGTCACCACAAGTGGGGTTAGAACCCACGATCAGGGAGTCACCACAGTGGGGTTAGAACCCACGATCAGGGAGTCACCACAGGTGGGGTTAGAACCCCGATTCAGGAATCACCACAGGTGGGGTTAGAACCCACGATCAGGGGTCACCACAGGTGGGGTTAGAACCCACGATCAGGGAGTCACCACAAGTGGGGTTAGAACCCACGATCAGGGAGTCACCACAGGTGGGGTTAGAACCACGATCAGGGAGTCACCACAGGTGGGGTTAGAACCCACGATCAGGAGTCACCACAGGTGGGGTTAGAACCCACGATCAGGGAGTCACCACAGGTGGGGTTAGAACCCACGATCAGGGAGTCACCACAGGTGGGGTTAGAACCCACGATCAGGGAGTCACCACAGGTGGGGTTAGAACCCACGATCAGGGAGTCACCACAGGTGGGGTTAGAACCCACGATCAGGGAGTCACCACAGGTGGGGTTAGAACCCACGATCAGGGAGTCACCACAGGTGGGGTTAGAACCCACGATCAGGGAGTCACCACAGGTGGGGTTAGAACCCACGATCAGGGAGTCACCACAGGTGGGGTTAGAACCCACGATCAGGGAGTCACCACAGGTGGGGTTAGAACCCACGATCAGGGAGTCACCACAGTGGGGTTAGAACCCACGATCAGGGAGTCACCACAGGTGGGGTTAGAACCCACGATCAGGGAGTCACCACAAGTGGGTTAGAACCCACGATCAGGGAGTCACCACAGGTGGGGTTAGAACCCACGATCAGGGAGTCACCACAGTGGGGTTAGAACCCACGATCAGGGAGTCACCACAGGTGGGGTTAGAACCCACGATCAGGGAGTCACCACAAGTGGGGTTAGAACCCACGATCAGGGAGTCACCACAGGTGGGGTTAGAACCCACGATCAGGGAGTCACCACAGGTGGGGTTAGAACCCACGATCAGGGAGTCACCACAGGTGGGGTTAGAACCCACGATCAGGGAGTCACCACAGGTGGGGTTAGAACCCACGATCAGGGAGTCACCACAGTGGGGTTAGAACCCACGATCAGGGAGTCACCACAGGTGGGGTTAGAACCCACGATCAGGGAGTCACCACAAGTGGGGTTAGAACCCACGATCAGGGAGTCACCACAGGTGGGGTTAGAACCCACGATCAGGGAGTCACCACAGTGGGGTTAGAACCCACGATCAGGGAGTCACCACAGGTGGGGTTAGAACCCACGATCAGGGAGTCACCACAGGTGGGGTTAGAACCCACGATCAGGGAGTCACCACAGGTGGGGTTAGAACCCACGATCAAGGAGTCACCACAGGTGGGGTTAGAACCCACGATCAAGGGAGTCACCACAGGTGGGGTTAGAACCCACGATCAGGGAGTCACCACAGGTGGGTTAGAACCCACGATCAGGGAGTCACCACAGGTGGGGTTAGAACCCACGATCAGGGAGTCACCACAGTGGGGTTAGAACCCACGATCAGGGAGTCACCACAGGTGGGGTTAGAACCCACGATCAGGGAGTCACCACAGGTGGGGTTAGAACCCACGATCAGGGAGTCACCACAGTGGGGTTAGAACCCACGATCAGGGAGTCACCACAGGTGGGGTTAGAACCCACGATCAGGGAGTCACCACAGGTGGGTTAGAACCCACGATCAGGGAGTCACCACAGGTGGGGTTAGAACCCACGATCAGGGAGTCACCACAGTGGGGTTAGAACCCACGATCAGGGAGTCACCACAGGTGGGGTTAGAACCCACGATCAGGGAGTCACCACAGGTGGGGTTAGAACCCACGATCAGGGAGTCACCACAGGTGGGGTTAGAACCACGATCAGGGAGTCACCACAGGTGGGGTTAGAACCCACGATCAGGGAGTCACCACAGGTGGGGTTAGAACCCACGATCAGGGAGTAACACACCCACAGGTGGGGTTAGAACCCACGATCAGGGAGTCACCACAGGTGGGGTTAGAACCCACGATCAGGGAGTCACCACAGGTGGGGTTAGAACCACGATCAGGGTTTGTCACAGGCATGGTCTGGTGTTAGAACCTGACGATATCTGAGGAGTTTAGTCACTGGAGAGTTTGTCATAGAATTGTCCACTGACAGGTGGTCCCACGGTGGAGTTTGTACCCTGACGATTGTCAGGAGATTGTCACAGTGGGAGTTAGTCACTGGAGATGTTGTCACGAATGTTTAGTCACTGGAGATTGTCACTGGACGATGTTTGTTCACCAGGCAGTTCATGCGAGTTGTCACTGAGATGTTTGTTCAGAAGTTTGTCCCGAGATGTTTTCACGGCGATGTTTGCACTGGGATGTTTGACACTGACGATGTTTGACACTGACGATGTTTGTCACTGGCGAGTTTGTCACTGGCGATGTCGACACTCTGAGGTTCAGTCAGGATGGTAGTTCCCTGCATGGTGTCACTGGAATGATGACTTGACGGTCGTTATAGGATAGTTGTTATCACTGGACATAGTTTTACCGCGATAAATCATTTTAATCACTCGAGATGTTTGTCACTGGTTCAGATACGTGCCTGGTCAGGACGATGTTCGCACACCGATGCATGGTCGACCGGCAGGTTGAACACTGGCGATGTTTCCTTACACTGTGGATTGTCACTGACAGATGTTGTCACTGAGAATGTCAGTGGATGTTTGGTGCATCTGGGATGAACTATGACACAGGAAATGTGACAGACGAGTCTTATGACGCATGCTTTGTCCTGGGTATCAGTGGCAACCCTCGGGGTTAAAAGTTACTGGACAATCCTTCTTTGTCAACTAGCGACTCGAGTCTGCAAGTGTCAGGCTAGACTAGACACTGTAAGATGTTAACATGACTTAACTCAAAGTCAGGTCCATCTACGCTTTGATACATTCCACTTTCGGAGCTCTATGTCCATCCTACCTTGTTCATGTGGTACATGTCTTGAACCTCTGGTGTTCCGTACTTACCGTGACACTTTCGAGTCCTGGGCGTCGGGATATCAGGTCGATGTTTGTCTTGGTCGAACTGCCATCTTGTACAGCAGCATGGCGTTTCGTCGAAGTTGTGTGCATGCTATCATTCTAACTGGGCTGTGGCTGGTGGCAAATCGTACATATGGCAAAGAGTGTGTTCTGTGGTGTTCGTCTTCAACACGCGAGTGAAAATAGTTGTTTGCTACATCATCTTTCTACACCTAGCGATACCACTGTTACATACAAGATAGTACAATCACGGAGTTTTCATAGTTTACACAATCCTGGACTTATGTTCACAATAGAAACAGCACAGTTTTATACACCACTCAGTTGAATAATTAAAATTTCTAATATAAACCGAGCCTTCAATTCCTGGACTGATCTAATACAATATTTCTGCTTAAGAATGACACATTGTTCGATATGACTCTATCTCTCAACCAAGTATTTTCTACTCCTTGACTCTGTCTCTCAACTCAACTCACTTGTGTGGGCTGGACTTGTCCACAAGGGTGACCTTCTGGCCTGCCACAACGGCCAATCCCTCGCTGTCGTCGGGAGAATAATCTTCGTTCACGAGGTATGTGGCAACTGTCGTCGTCTCCTGCTCCTCTTGCTGCTGACAAAAACGGGAAACGTGTAAAGAAAACGGGCCGTGAAAGGGCCGCATCATAAAGGGTAGACTGAGTTAATTTTGACGTCTAAACTTCAGTATTTCAATATCAAGACAAAGAAAATGTATTGTGTGCTATGCCAACACTTTTTTTTAAATACAAAATGAGATACGTTTGCAGAGAGAATTATAGAACATAAATATAATAACTGAATTATATATATTGCAGACAATGTATGATGATTAGAGGCAATTTAATATTATTGCAAAACACTGTTGCACTAACAATTGCAAGTACACTGAGGTGTATGTCTCTCAGTGACTATACACCAGAGGTTTAAATCTCTCTGTGTATATATACTGAGAGGTGTATATCTCGGTGTATATACACTGAGAGTTTAATTCAACCAGTATTTTAGGCACTAAACTATTCTTGACTGGTGGTTAAGAGGCGATATGCAGCCTTAATGACCCTCGTCTAGTAGACAGAATTTAAACCAAGCAAAACAAGTACTAACAAACACGAAAATACACACAAGCACGTGAAGCATAAAACACTGAACAACCACGAGTAAACACAATAAAGATTACAAAGAAACTAGCGACTAAAGGCATAAATATAATGCAAATATTCTTTGATTTAATGCTATAGAGGGATCATGCTAAATATCCAGGAACTGGAATGTTTAATAAGGTTATCATGCTAAATATCCAGGAACTGGATGTTTAATTAGGTTATCATGCTAAATATCCAGGAACTGGAATGTTTAATAAGATTATCATGCTAAATATCCAGGAACTGGAATATTTAATAAGATTATCATGCTAAATATCCAGGAACTGGAATATTTAATAAGTTATCATGCTAAATATCCAGGAACTGGAATGTTTAATAAGGTTATCATGCTAAATATCCAGGAACTGGAATATTTAATAAGATTATCATGCTAAATATCCAGGAACTGGAATATTTAATAAGATTATCATGCTAAATATCCAGGAACTGGAATATTTAATAAGGTTATCATGCTAAATATCCAGGAACTGGAATGTTTAATAAGGATTATCATGCTAAATATCCAGGAACTGGAATGTTTAATTAGGTTATCAATCTAAGCATACAGAAACTAGGTACAAGAACACATGTACAAATAACAAGACATTTTATTGTTGACGAAGCTCTTGGAGAGCGAAACGTTGCCATAACAAAAATGTCGCATTAGCTGCACATGTGTCCTTTTACCTAACATAGTGCGGGTAATTCACCAAACATTACTGCACATCCAGGAACATAAAAAGTCAACAAACACGGAGATCTTACCTGGACAGAGTCGCTGGTACGAGTCTTAGTTCTCACTGTTATCTGTATCATATAGTGCTATATTATTGTACCCACGAGCAAGTGGTATTGATTAATAACAACACTGCACTAGCCAGGGAGTCGAACCCATGCTGCTTTGGCCTGCGTCATGGTGGGCAAAAACTCATGACGCCTTAATCCACAGGATCACACGATCGGACTGTGTGGTTCTGTGGATTAAGGCGTCATTAGTTTTCGCCCACCATGAGGCAGACCAAAGCAGCATGGGTTCAACTGTCATAGGGTTCGAATTGATTGGATTCAGGAATAAACACACACAATGGATTGTTTAGTAACTTGTAATTATGATACCAAAGGGGAAAACGCCAGGCCTGACCTGTCTCCTTATATATCTTGATCAGTAGCACTAGTGACGCGGCACCTTGGGTAGTCGCACTGTTGTTATTGATATGCTGCTATGTATGATATGCTACTATGTATGATATGCTGCTATGTATGATATGCTGCTATGTATGATATGCTGCTATGTATGATATGCTGCTATGTATGATATGCTGCTATGTATGATATGCTGCTATGTATGATATGCTGCTTGTATGATATGCTGCTATGTATGATATGCTGCTATGTATGATATGCTGCTATGTAGATATGTGTATGTATGATATGCTGCTATGTATGATATGCTGCTATGTATGATATGCTGCTATGTATGATATGCTGCTATGTAAGATATGTTGCTATGTATGATATGCTGCTATGTATGATATGCTGCTATGTATATGCTGCTATGTATGATATGCTGCTATGTATGAAATGCTGCTATGTAAGATATGCTGCTATGTATGATATGCTGCTATGTATGATTGCTGCTATGTATGATATGCTGCTATGTATATGCTGCTATGTATGATATGCTGCTATGTATGATATGCTGCTATGTATGATATGCTGCTATGTATGATATGCTGCTATGTATGATATGCTGCTATGTATGATATGCTGCTATGTATGATATTGTGTATGATATGCTGCTATGTATGATATGCTGCTATGTAAGATATGTTACTATGTATGATATGCTGCTATGTAAGATATGCTATGTATGATATGCTGCTATGTATGATATGCTGCTATGTATGATATGCTGCTATGTATGATATGCTGCTATGTATGATATGCTGCTATGTTGAAGATATGCTGCTATGTATGATATGCTGTATGTATGATATGCTGCTATGTATGATATGCTGCTATGTATGATATGCTGCTATGTATGATATTGCTATGTAGATATGTTATGATATGCTTGCTATGTATGATATTTATGATGCTGCTATGTATGATATGCTGCTATGTATGATATGCTGCTATGTATGATATGCTGCTATGTATGAAGCCTATGTGAATGTTATGTAGATATGCTGCTATGTATGATATGCTGCTATGTATGATATGCTGCTATGTAAGATATGTTACTATGTATGATATGCTGCTATGTAAGATATGCTATGTATGATATGCTGCTATGTATGATATGCTGCTATGTATGATATGTGCTATGTATGATATGCTGCTATGTATGATATGCTGCTATGTATGATTGCGCTAGTAGTTGCTATGTATGATATGTGCTATGTATGATATGCTGCTATGTATATGCTCTATGTGATATGCTGCTATGTATGATATGCTGTTATGTAAGATATGCTGCTACGTATGATATGCTGCTATGTAAGATATGTTACTATGTATGATATGCTGCTATGTAAGATATGCTGCTATGTATGATATGCTGCTATGTATGATATGCTGCTATGTAAGATATGCTGCTATGTATGATATGCTGCTATGTATGATATGCTGCTATGTTGATAGTTTGCTAGTATGATATGCTGCTATGTAAGATATGCTGCTATGTATGATATGCTGCTATGTATGATATGCTGCTATGTATGATATGCTGCTATGTATGATATGCTGCTATGTATGATATGCTGCTATGTAAGATATGTGACTATGTATGATATGCTGCTATGTAAGATATGCTATGTATGATATGCTGCTATGTATGATATGCTGCTATGTATGATATGCTGCTATGTATGATATGCTGCTATGTATGATATGCTGCTATGTATGATATGCTGCTATGTATGATATGCTGCTTGTATGATATGTGTATGATATGCTGCTATGTATGATATGCTGCTATGTATGATATGCTGCTATGTAAGATATGCTGCTATGTATGATATGCTGCTATGTAAGATATGTTACTATGTATGATATGCTGCTATGTATGATATGCTGCTATGTATGATATGCTGCTATGTATGATATGCTGCTATGTATGATATGCTGCTATGTAAGATATGCTGCTATGTATGATATGCTGCTATGTATGATATGCTGCTATGTATGATATGTCTATGTATATTGCTGCTATGTATGATATGCTGCTATGTATGATATGCTGCTATGTATGATATGCTGCTATGTATGATATGCTGCTATGTATGATATGCTGCTATGTATGATATGCTGCTATGTATGATATGCTGCTATGTATGATATGCTGCTATGTATGATATGCTGCTATGTATGATATGCTGCTATGTATGATATGCTGCTATGTATGATATGCTGCTATGTATGATATGCTGCTATGTATGATATGGCTTGCATATGTATGATATGCTGCTATGTATGATATGCTGCTATGTAAGATATGCTGCTATGTATGATATGCTGCTATGTATGATATGCTGCTATGTAAGATATGCTGCTATGTATGATATGCTGCTATGTATGATATGCTGCTATGTATGATATGCTGCTATGTATGATATGCTATGTATGTATGTTGAATGCTGCTATGTATGATATGCTGATATGTGTATGATAAAGCTGCTATGTATGATATGCTGCTATGTATGATATGCTGCTATGTAAGATATGCTGCTATGTATGATATGCTGTATGTGATGATATGCTGCTATGTAGATATGCTGCTATGTTGATATGCTGCTATGTAGATTGCTGCTATGTTGATATGCTGCTATGTATATGCTGCTATGTATGATATGCTGCTATGTATGATATGCTGCTATGTATGATATGCTGCTATGTATGATATGCTGCTATGTATGATATGCTGCTTAATTGTATGATGATATGCTGCTATGTAATGATATGCTGCTATATGTAATGATATTGCTGCTATGTATGATATGCTGCTATGTAATGATATGCTGCTATGTATGATATGCTGCTATGTATGATATGCTGCTATGTAGATATGCTGCTATGTATGTATGTGCTATTATGATGCTGCTATGTATGATATGCTGCTATGTATGATATGCTGCTATGTATGATATGCTGCTATGTATGATATGCTGCTATGTATGATATGCTGCTATGTATGATATGCTGCTATGTATGATATGCTGCTATGTATGATATGCTGCTATGTATGATATGCTGCTATGTATGATATTGCTATGTTGTATGTTATGTGATATGCTGCTATGTATGATATGCTGCTATGTATGATATGCTGCTATGTATGATATGCTGCTATGTATGATATGCTGCTATGTAGTATGCTATTATATATGCTGCTATGTATGATATGCTGCTATGTATGATATGCTGCTATGTATGATATGTGCTATGTAAT